CACAACCAATTGGCGGATAAAATCAGGTGTGCACTGCGCAACTCCATCTGTGGCAAGGTCCACATAAACACAGATACATGGACCAGTAAGCACGGACAGGGACACTATATCTCCCTAACTGCCACTGGGCAAATGTAGTGGCGGCTGGGCCTAAGGCGGATAGCAGTTTGGCACATATCCTTCCGCCACCGAGGATTGCAGGGTATTTCTCTTTGCCTCCCGTTGCCTCCTCCTACTACTCCGCTTCCTCCTCCTCTACCACCACCTCATCCGGGCAGCGTAACACCTTCACCACCAACTTCAGCACAGCCAGGGGGAAACGACAGCATGCTGTTTTAAAACTCATATGTTTGGGGGAAAAACCCCACACCGCGGGCATGGAACAACAGACCGATGAGTGGTTGTTGCCATTGAGCCTCAAGCCCGGCCTGGTGGTGTGCAATAATGGCGAAATCTCATAGCAGCTCTGGGCCTAGCTGGTTTAACGTACATCCCATGTGCTGAATTTGGTGGTGCAGAAATTCCTGAAAAACTACCCAGATGTATCAGAGCTGCTGCAGAAAGTGCGGGCCGTCTGTGTGCACTTTCGGTATTCTCACCCTGCTGCTGCTCACCTGTCTGTGCTGCAGCGTAACGTCAGCCTTCCCGCTCACCGCCTCATATGCAACGTGCCCACAAGGTGGAACTCCACCTTGCACATGCTGGAGAGACTGTGCGAGCAGCAGCAGGCGATAGTGGAGTTTCAGATGCAGCACGCATGGGTCAGTCGCTCTGTGGAACAGCACCACTTCACCACCAATGAGTGGGCCTCCATGCGAGACCTGTGTGCCATTTTGCACTGTTTCGAGTACTCCACCAACATGGCCAGGGCCGATGATGCCGTTCTCAGCCTTACTATCCTGCTTCTATGTCTCCTTGAAAAAATGCTTCGGGCGATGATGGAAGAGGATGTGGCACAGGAGGAAGAGTAGGAGGAAGAGGGGTCATTTCCACGGTTATCAGGCCTGTCATTCACAAGTGGCTTGGAGGGTGGGTTCCTGCAACAGCATAGGCCAGGCACACAATTGTCCAGCCAGGGAACAGTTCTGGAGGATGAGGAGGAGGATGATGAGGATGAGGAGGAGGAGGAGGAGGAACCGTGTTCACAGCAGGGTGGCACCCAACGCAGCTCGCGGGCATCACTGGAGCATGGCTGGGGGGATACAGAGGACACATGTGAAACACCTCCCACAGAGGACAGCTTGCCCTTGCCTCTGGGCAGCCTGGCACACATGAGCGACTACATGCTGCAGTGCCTGCACAATGACTTCCGAGTTGCCCACATTCTAACTTGTGCTGATTACTGGTAGACGCACTGTTGAGGGCATTCCCAACTGCCACCAGGGGCTCAGTGGAAGCACAAGGCGAAGGCAGAGGAGGAGGAAGAGGTTGCCAACGCAGCTGGGGCACCGCCAGCACCTCAGAAGGCAGGGTTAGCATGGCTGAAATGTGGAAAAGCTTTGTCAGCACGCCACAACAACCAGCACCACCATCTGATATGGAACGTCTTAGCAGGAGGCAGCATTTCAGCAACATAGTGAAACAGTACGTTTGCACACGCCTACACGTACTGACTGATGGGTCTGCCCCATTCAACTTCTGGGTCTCCAAATTGGGCACATGGCCTGTGCTTGCCCTTTATGCCTTGGAGGTGCTGGCCTGCCCTGCAGCCAGTGTATTGTCTGAACGTGTGTTTAGCACGGCAGGGGGCGTTATCACAGACAAGCGCAGCCGCCTGTCCACAGCCAACGTGGACAAGCTCACATTTATTAAAATGAACCAGGCATGGATTCCACCAGACTTGTCTGTACCTTGTGCAGAATAGACATTTATACCAGCCTCACCCAGCCATTGTTATACTCATGTGCACTTATTCTTTGTTTTCTTTTTTTATATGTTCCAATATTTGGGGGGCTACCCAAATAAAAAAAAAATTTAAAAAGTGTTGGCTACCTCCTCCTCCTCCACCGCCGTTTCCACCTACACTGCCACGGTCACCGCCTCCTCAACCTATGGGTCACTTAGTATAAACTATGTACACAATAGCAGAGGCTTGTGAAGGCCTTTTCTCCATGCATCAGGAGTTGAGCATTTCTCCATGCATCAGGACTGCAAGAAATGCACCGCAGGCCGCAAATGTTTCTTTTTTTATATGTCCCAATATTTTGGGGGATACCCCAATTAAAATAAAAAATAGATATATAAAAAAAAGTGTTGGCTACCTCCTCCTCCTCCACCGCAGCTTCCACCTACACTGCCACGGTCACCGCCTCCTCAACATATGGGTCACTTAGTATAAACTATGTACACAATAGCAGAGGCTTGTGAAGGCCTTTTCTCCATGCATCAGGAGTTGAGCTCAGTTTGAACAATGAAAGAGAATACCTTGCACTCCAATCCTCTCTCAAATTGATAATTCTGGTGATCCTCTTGACAGCAATGCTTTAGATTTTGATTTATGTTCTTCCAAAGCTAAAATCAAAGATTCCATCTAGTACTATTTTATGGCTCAGCTGTGTTTTTAATTTTTATGTATTTTATGCTATTTTAAGTGATTTCCCTATCCACATTTGTTTGCAGTGCACTTGTCCTACTCTTACCCCCATTTTACTTCCTTTTGCGGCCCTCTAGCCCTTTTTTAGAGGCATTTTTGTGCCCATAAGTTCTGGTCCTCATTGACTTCAATGGGGTTCAGGTTCGGGGTCAAGTTTGGGGTCAAGTTCGAGCCCGAACCCGGACTTTTTTTCAAAGTTCGGCCGAATTCGACGGACCCAAACATCCAGGTGTCCGCTCAACTCTACTTGTGACATGTCTCTGGTGTCTCCATAAATGGGATACCAAAGGACAAAAGTTTAAGGAAAGCCTATTGTACATGTGTTTAGAGCCTGCTTGTGGGATTGCGTGTGTGTAGAGTTAGTTAATTGTGGTGTGATGTTTTGTGTAAATGTCAGTTTCAGTTGTGTTGTGTTTGTGGTGTAATATGTATGGCTAGGGGTAGAGAGAGAGAGAGAGAGTGAGTATAGGGGATGTAGCGAGTGTTTGCATAGGGATTGTAGTGTATGTGGGCATAGATGATGTAGTAGGTGTAGGGGTTGTAAAGTGTGTGTGTTTAGGGAAAGTAGTGTGTGTTTGCTTACAGGGGATCTAGTGTGTTCATAGGGGATCCAGAGTGTGTATGTCATTAATGTAGTGTGTGTAGGTGGTGCAGTGTATTCCTATAGGGGATCGATTATGTGCATAGGAGATCTAGTATGTGTGGAGGACCCAAAGTGTGCGTAGGATAATTATAGTGTGTGTGTGTGTGTGTGTGTGTGTGTGTGTGTGTGTATAGGATTCAGAGTGTGCATAGGGATTCTAGTGTGTTTATGTAGATGATCCATAGTTATGTATAGGAGCTAGGGTGTGTGTGTATAATTGATGTAGTGTGTGTGTCTGGAATGTAATGTGTGTAGGGGTGCAGTGTGTGTAAGGGATGCACTGGGTGTAAAGGGTGCACTGTGTGTGTGAAGGATGCCCTGTGTGTGAGGGATGAAGGGTGTGTGAGGGATGCAGGGTGTGCAGTGTGTGTGTGTGAAGGGTGCAGTGTGTGAAGGGTGCAGTGTGTGAGGGGAGCAGTGTGTATGAAGGGTTGCACTGTGTGTGTGTAAAAGGTGCACTGTGTGTGAAGGTTGCAGTGTGTGTTTGTGGTGCTGTGTGTGTGTGAGGGGTGCATTGTGTGTTTGGGGTGCACTGTGGTGTTTGTGGTGCAGTCTGTGTTTGTGTTTGTGAGGGGTGTTTGGGGTACAGTGTGTGTGTGTGTGTGTGTGTGTGTGAAGTGTGATCTGTTTTTGAGGTGTGCAGTGTGGTGTTTGGGAGTGCAGTGTGGTGTTGGGGTGCAGTGTGTGTGTGTTTGGGGTGTTGTGTGTGGGGGGGTGCAGTGTGGTGTCTGGGGTGTAGTGTGGTGTTTGGGGTGCTGTGGGATGGGTTAAAGATAAAACATATGTATATGTGTGTCATTTTTTTAATTATTGTGATTAAAAATATATTTAGAATTAGAAAGAGTGGGAGTTTAGGTCTGAAGTAGTCAAAGGGCTAAATAGGGGCACGAACCCAGAATTATTAAAGTAAATATAAAGAGGGATCCCTGACCAAACAAGATAATGATAAGATGTTAATATTGTCACACTAGGTAAATAGTTTGAACATACCTATTGTGTCCATGATTTATACTAATTATTGATATATTTCCCCCCCCCCCTCCCTTTTTTAACAACATAACAACAAAAGTGAAGTTTTATCATTTATCATTATCTTGTTTGGTCAGGGATTCCGCTTTAAAAATATATTTAGTTTACGTCCCACCTCCCTTGTTACCTTTGCCTGGGAGGGGGGACCTTGTTGCCAGCCCTGGTGGTCCGGTAAAGAGTGGACTCTACCCTGCAGTTCCTGGGGTAGAGTTCACTCTCACGAGATTGGAGCGTTGTCATAGCAACCGTGACAATGCTCCAACCTCACGAGAGGAACCCGACGAAGCTGCAGGATAGAGCTCCCCAGGTCCTCTCTCCCTCCCTCCCCAGCCGCATCTCAGTGCCTCTGGGACAGTAGGGAAATAGTTTGTCTCCCCACCGGCCCATGAATACACACAGCAGGGCTGGTGGTTTGATAACGAAAAATAGAGAATAGAGTCAGCGCTAATATATTGGAGAGAGATACAAGAGGCAGCAATCCCAAACAAGGACTCCCTCAAGTGACCTTGGGATAAATACAAAAGACAATCAAATAGAAGGATGGGACTGCGCCAATAGACAGAAATGAAAAGTCCTTTATAAAATATGGAAATAAAGTCCAAATGTAATAAAAAACTTGGTATTATGTTCGTCTCTGTAGTTTTGTTCCTTCCTGGTATATGAAGGAGGGTGATGAATGATGAGGTGGTGTGGAGTGATCCAACGGATATCCAAATGAAAAAGAAGAGGTAATACTCACTTTTAGTAGAGCTTAATCCAGCTCTGGTGTGGATGGCTTGCAGCGGTATTATCCCCGCTTATAGGATATATGGTGAGCTTCCTCTTCAGTATGATGACCGGCAACCAGGTGGAAGATGAAACGAAAAAGCAATAATAGTGCAATATGTCCCAAAAAGTAGATAAAAGGTATGAAAAATATAAAAGGTACACTCACATTTAATAGAGCTTATACTAGCTCTAGTGTAGTAGGCATGCAACGGTATGATCCCCCGTATCTGGGATATGCGGTGAGCGTTCGTTAGTACAGTTCTTTAGGGTGGTAGCAGGAGCTCAGGAAGAAGATAATAAAACAGCAATAGTGCTCTCAGTAAAATAATGCTGATTAATAAAATAAAATAAAATATACTCACAGTATATAGGGCAGACTAACTGCTCTATGGTATAGGCGCGGGTGGTATGATCCCCACCTCAGGATACGTTGGAGTATTGACGACAATAGGTAAAAAAGCCAGGTATTTTAAAATAAAAAATAAAAATAAATAAAAGATAGTGGTACAAGAGAATAAAGTGACCAAAATCTATTTATTGACAATAATTTAAAAAATATATTAGTATAATATCCAAACGCGTTTCACCAATATAGGCTTTATCAATGGATTAAAAACATGACAACCTGGCTTGTTAGAGTTTATATAGGCTATGAATAACTTTGAAAATTGCGCCAGAACTGCTCTGGCCAATCACAAAACGAATTGTAATTACTTACATAAAACAGTAAAGAAACAGTAAAAAACATATTAGGCACATTAATATACCCAGTGGGATGTAAAATATATAATTTAATTAAAAAAACGAGGTCTGTGTGAAAAGATATGATAGCTAGTATTAAGTCATGTGACGCGCGTTGTGGGCGCGACGTCACTTCCGGTCGCTCGGTATGCTGGGGCATGTAGTTGTATCTTATACTACATGCCCAAACTGCATACCGAGGAGGATTTAGAGCCTTGTGATAGGCTCAAGAGGGGGGAATAGCTTAGGACCGGAGGGGAAAGGGAGGGAAATAGCCGAAAAACGGCTAGAAAATGGGGTCGCGGCGGCCATCTTGGTTGGGGAATGTTTGGTGAGAAACATAGCGGCGGCCATATTGGAGGAGGCAGAAGAACTGAATATACATTAAATAGACATATATCAATAAAAAGAAGGGGGACAATAATAAAAACTTGTAAGAAGTTAAAAAACCATGTAATGTTAGTCTCCAAAAGAGTATATGAGGCAATAAAATAAATCTAAAAGTGTAAAAAAAAAAAAAAAATTTCTTTTGAATAAAAAAGCAGACAATAGTGGATAATAAAATGACAATATTATATAAAATTGAATAAATCAAAATCAGCATTTAAGCCATTTGGGGTTAAGGTTTTCAAATTAAAAACCCATTCCATTTCACATTTTCCCAGAATATTTTTTATGTTACCTCCAGGGCCGTCTTTAACGCGGGGCAAACGGGGCAGCTGCCCCGGGCCCAGTTTCTCTTGGGGGGCCCGAGGCACCTGCCCCGTGGGCCCCGCTGACCCCGGCGGGCAGGCGGGCGGGTGGCCGGTCGGGCAGGAAGGCGGGCGCGCGAGGAGCACTCACTGCTTCCTCTTCAGCTCCCTCGCGCACCGCACTGATGCCGGAGCCGGAAGATGACGTCATCTTCCGGCGCCGGCATCCCTACGCGGCGCGCGAGGGAGCTGAAGAGGAAGCAGTGAGTGCTCCTCGCGCGCCCGCCTTCCTGCCCGACCGGCCACCCGCCCAGGAGCCCAGCAGCACCACTGGACCCCAGGGAATCCCCCCAGCACTCCAAAAGGTAAGGAGGCTGGGGGGATTACATTAAAAAAAATAAAAAATGTGTGTTTGTGTGTTTATGTGTGTGTGTGTGTGTGTGTGTTAGTGTATGTGTGTGTCAGCATGTCTGTGTGTGTGTCAGTATGTCTGTCTGTCTGTGTGTCAGTATATCTGTGTGTGTATATCTGTGTGTGTCAGTATGTGTATGTGTCAGTATGTCTGTCAGTGCGTCAGTATGTCTGTTAGTGCATGTGTATGCATGCATGTGTCAGTCAGTATATCTGTCTGTGTGCCAGTATGTCTGTGTGTGTGTGTGTCAGTATATCAGTCTGTGTGTGTCAGTGTATGTGCCTGTGTGTGTGTGTCAGTATTTCTCAGTGTATGTGGGTGTCAGTATATCTGTCAGTGTGTGGGTGTCAGTATTTCTGTCAGTGTGTGTGTCAGTATGTTGATCAGTGTATGTGTCTGTGTGTGTGTGTCAGTATGTCGGTATATGTGTCTGTGTGTCAGTATGTCTGTATATGTGCCTGTGTCAGTATGTCTGTCAGTACGTCTACCAGTGTATGTGTCTGTGTGTGTGTCAATATATGTACCTGTGTCTGTCAGTGTATGTGCCTGTTTATCTGTATGTAGTCAGTGTATGTATCTGTGTATCTGCTTGTGCGTCAGAGTGTGTACCTGTGCATCTGAGCCGCAACTTTAAATACAAATACACCCCTCCATTCAAACTTCAACACTACATATAAAACACACTCCTGCATTGAAACGTCAACACTACATACAAGCACACTCCTACATTCAAAAACAAACACTACACATAAATGCACACTTGCATTCAAACTCCAGTACCACATACAAACACATTCACACAAACATACTCCATACAAACACATGCTTACATTCAAACATACTAACATGGCTCAGTGCTAAATACAACCCTGCAAGCATGGGAAATTGGTAGAGTCCCAGCTGTCAAAGCATTGTTGGAGTTGCACGACAGATGGGGTTCTACCTTTAGTCCAACCTTGCAATTGGGGGTCCCAATAAAATTCATTCTAAATAGTACCGCCACTGCGTTGGGATGGATGCCGTGATTGCATACCAGGGAGTGAGGGGCGAGAGCGGCAGGGCACAGGGGGCCCAAGCAAACACTTGCCCAGGGTCCATTCGTTATTAAAGACGGCCCTGGTTACCTCCTCTCCATGGAATAGTGCATTTACTTATGCCAATACATTTCAAATGGCGTGGATCGTTATTATGGATAGAGAAGTGTTTGGATACAGTGTGGTTTTGGTATCCTTTTATAATATTACGACAGTGTTCGCCTAATCTTGTTTTTAAGCTCCTAGTGGTCATACCAACATACTGCAAACCACACGGGCATTCCAGGAGATAAATGACATTCTTAGATGCACAAGTAATAAAATCTTTAATATTAAAGATTTTATTACTTGATCATTCTTTATGATCAATTTTCCCCCCTTCTCTCCTCTTATTCTCTCCTCTCTCCTTCTCGCATCCTGTCTAAAATTTTACACTGTTACTTTAAGCTTTATTCATATTGCTATTCCAATTTTGGATTAATGTTCTTGTTTAACCATCAGTTCCTTTACAGAGTCCCATGTTGATCAGCTTCTGGCATGCTTGAGAAGGTTCTTTGCATACCAAAGATGAATTGTCATGTTGAATGTTCAAAGACACTGGAAATCCCCATCTATAGATAATATGGTTATTTCTTAATATTTTTGTAGAATTTTTTGCAGCTTGTATAATTAGGGTTTTGACATAAGAGGATGCGAATTGTACTATCACTTCCCTTCAGCAATGTTCAGCAATACCTTTAGGTTTTGGCAGACGATGGTAGCGTTCAAAGGGAAATTGACCCAAATGATGTGAAGGGATTAGTGAAGAGCATAAATCATTTAAAAATTTGTTTTTGTGAATTCCTCTGGAATGCCTCTAATTCTAATATTTTTTATCTCTATCTTCCATATCAGTATTTTTAGCTTCTAGGAATCTAAGTCTATTTTCTAAATCTTCATATTTAGTTGATAATGACTAATAAGTATCTTGTAAATTTTTTACTGCCTCTGTCTGGAGCGATATAGATTGATGAATCTGAGAAATTTCTGTTTTAAATATCTCCATTAAGTTCGTCATGTCTTGCTTGATTTTCCCATGTAAGTTGTCCATTGGTTCCATCACACATTCCTTGGATAAAGGTTGAAGTTGTTCTATTTGTTAGTGTTGTTGTTCCATAATAGTGGAAATTGATTGGTTCAATTCTTGATTTCCAATAGAACTTTTAGGGTCAATTTGTTTCCCTATGTTCTTGGGGGAGTCATATGTATTTATGGATTTATTTTTGTCTGGATTTTGTATTTTTTCTTTTTCTTTTTTGGGTGCCATAATGAGATAGGGGTATTTAGGGAGAAATCTGATGTTTTTGTTATTGCTTAGAGGGAAGAGATCCCTTATTTAGAGTTAAGTTAATCTTCCCCCTTTCATTCTCCTCTCTTTTTCCCTCTTCTCTCCTTTTTTCTTTTTTATCCTCTCTTTTTTATTTATTTTTTTAACTCTATGATTTTCTACTCTTTTCTTTTTCGCTATTCTTAACCTTACCCCTGCCCCTGTATTTACAAATTTACAGATATGTCTTCTTTATTAGCTATGAAAAAGAGCAGGTCTTTTACTTGAATAGTACGTTTGGTTTTTGTTTTTTCCTTATATTTTATTAAGCGTTTCCCATATGTACTATGTTTAATTGAATTAGTAAACTGTAAATAATTTATCACAATTTAGTATTTGCCCAGTCTCTGGAATGAATTGTACAGTTTAGATTGCAGTCTACCACCCTTGTTGCAGACATAAGCAAAGTCTTATCTCAGGCCAATGTGTATGTTAGGCGCATTTCAGAGTTACAGAGAAATAACATGTCTGTCTTTGCATTTTGTTACAAAATGGAGTCACATTAAGTGGCGACTTACAGTATACATTTTTAATTTCAATCTTACCCCAAATTGTCTGCCAGTGAAAATATTCTGACAGGTTGCAGGCTGATCTTCATGCTCTTATGACCAATATTGTTAACTTTCAACAACCATCTTAGGCTTTGTTTTTTACAGTAAACGAATATTGTTTTATTTAGTGATTCAATTTTTTATACCATATAGATGTATTGTGGGCTTATGTCAACTGTCTATCTGTCTTGTATAACCTTCTGCCTAAGACTAAATAAAGAATGGAAAAAAATCACAGACAGGTGAAGTGAATAACATTGATTATATTGCTACAAAGACACCTGTCAAAGGATGGGATATATTAGGATATATTATTATTAACAGTCAGTTCTTGAATTTCATGTGTAGGAAGCATGAAAAATTGGCAAGTGAAAAAAATCTGAGCCACTTTGAAAAGGGCCAAATAGTGATGGCTGGACAACAGGGTCAGAGAATCTCCAATATTGGGTGTGGGGTGATCAAGGTTTGTAGTGTTAGTTAAACTGTTTTTGAATTATTTAATGTTAAACAAGAATCGCCAACACTCTATCCCCTCTGCTTGGACTAATGGAGATGCATTAGCCCAAT